ATATTACTCGTAGGAATATACGTGGATGATTTATTGGTCACTGGGACCAATGACGACTCAGTGAACAAGCTGTTTGACTTACTGAATATCTTACAAATCAAGGATTTGAGAGAAGTTAACAAGTTCTTGGGAACTTACCTTCAAACTACCAGGTCCTTCCTTCCTATCTGACATTTGCAGCACTTTGCGCAGAGGTAGCGTATCGGGCCACCTATTTAGTTCAACATTCCTCGAGTGAGGTAAGTCGGATGCGGAAGGTTTCGGTGCTGGCTGCTCATGCATTGATAGCCTCTATGAAGTAGATTATCATTAGCGTTTCTGGATCAGGGCATTACTGTCACCTCAACGATCATCTTTGCGAGTTTCTGGACATAGTCCACTAATTATTTGCCTCCTTTGACGAATGAGCAAAATTTAATGGCTCAAGGTCGCTTGGTTGGGCAGTGTATGCACTCGCAACAATTTCCATGTTTTGGAATTACTCTTTTATAACGATACTTTACATAAGCACCCTTTTTTGCGCCCGACCTCCTGGCTGGAAGACCACTAGTGCGATGTATTAGGAGTTGGCCGATGGCCTTCTCAGTTTTCTTATACAATAGGTTCCCTCTGTCCCTGCCTCAATGGGCTGGAAGCTTAGCAAAAGTGGCCCCACCGCGGGTTGCCTGCCTATGCTTGCTTTGTTTGTTCCGGAAGCGCAGTTTTATTGCTCATGGACGCCTTCCGATGATCAATTACCGATTGTTGACCTGGGATCGCTTATTTTGCAATTACTTGGAGTCAACAAAAGAAAAAGCTTGTAAATCATGTATTGCTGTTCCAATAACATGAAAGGAAAAAATATTATGCTCCTACCTCACAGAAAATATGGTCGTTTTTGGACTCAGTCGATTTGACTGTAAGTGCTACCATATGCAACGGGGTCTCGCATAAATAATCCTTTGATTTTGCGACCTTTCAATCGCTGACGCACCAAAGTATGGACTTGTACGCTACGCTCAAGACCGAGATAGTGATATTTTTTTAATAGCTAGGACTTTTTTGCCCTTGCTAACTTTGGCTCATGGTAAATGTTTCCTTCCTTATTTGCAATCAAAAAGCCCTCCGTAATGTATAGTGGCAAGATTAGCAGCCCTCGTACCCACGTCCCTCTCCTGTAAGGAAGTTCATCTTGTCGGATAGTACTTTACTTGGCTTCATGAGCTTTGCAATAAGTCAGAAAGGCGATAGTGTTATATCCCCCATTTTAGCTACTTGTCCTTTCTAAAATCATTTATGGATTGGTAAATCAGATTTTATTCCAATACGTATAAAAATCAGTGTTGTTCTGAATTCAGCAGATGTATTCAATAATTTTTGTATAGAATAACTACGTCTGGGTTGTGCATAATTGCAGCTCAATAGTCTAAGCATGGTACATGTATTCGTCACCAACAAAGAGTTTGATAAATCTCCTTAAGCAAAGATTGTATGAAGCCGACGAATCATGTCGCTGTTGTCATGGCACGTTTGGTTCAGGCAAATCACGCGCCAAGGCAGTCGCCATTCAGCCCAGTGATTGTGTCGTCGTCCGGCAGAGTCCACGAACAACAAGGCCAACTAAAGGCAAAAAAGCACATTTTGAGTACACGATTAGTCTCAAGTGTTCCAGATATGGTCATCCTGATCACAATATACGTGCGTAATTACACGACACTCCTAAATCTATCAGGAATTTTAACTGGCTTACAAAGCCCAGGACGTTGATGCTAGCAGCCACCCTCAAATTTATCAACAGATAAATAAATCAAATTAAACTTCGCAATCCAGACAATAGAATTAAAGTCGAAGTTACCCAAATAAAGCAGCACGCGGAAGCAATGGATATATCGACTCTTGCGTCTTGCTACGTGAACACTAATCAAAGTGCCGAAGGATCTATGTTCTTTCCTGTGACATTTTGTGGCTTTGATAGTGTAAAACGTCGTCTTGCCCTGAACCTGGATTCGAGATAATATATCATTCGAGGTATGACCTGGTAAAGACAGTGAGTACTATACATTTCTCTTATTGTGAAGTTTCAAAAAGTAATATTTTTCTCTGCGAGAAAGCTGAAGCATTTTGTTATGGATACAGTGGTGCGATTGTTTTGTCACAGATCACGTGATTGTCCAAAATGTTTATGGCGAGTTACTATTTTTTGAGCCAAGCTCCAAAGGTAGAAAAGAAGTAATGAAATATTTGTTTTATATTTCGATCTCAAAACTGTATTTTAAGGAGAAGATTGACTACAAGTCCCATAATTTACTTCGAGTGGAATGGGTAAGAGCGGTTATGTGTGACGATATCCACGAAATAAACTCGTCTAGACGAATCGCTTGTGATGCTCCCGCCATAGTCATTGGCTGTGCTTTACTTCGATAAAAATGGACTCGAACGCACTATTGCGTTTTAATCCTGCTAGCTTCAAACAGCAAAGAAGACTGTATAGGTTTCGAGGAGGAGCTATTTATTAAAGTATGCTTTTGTTAACATCGAGCTAGTCCTGCCTGTAAGGTTACTGTGCTCTATACAGACGTTGCGTCGTTGCGCACAGCGACATTGTCACTTACCTATCGCAAAGATTGATCTATTCGTTTTTGAATATTTTTAGGGTCTATATGCTGGCGGATGCGCTTTTGCTTTATGTGGCATATAGGCTGTCGAATGTCACGAATGAGGCGTAGCGTACCGACGACACAGCGCGTACAGCTTATGGATCAGAAGCAGCTCGTGTCTACAGTGAGCTTTGCAAATAGTCTTTGTATTCATAATATTGCAGCGTTTATAGCGCCTTTGGGCTGCTAATAAGTGTCTCGAGGTTTGCACTTTTGACCAACTCGACACTTAACGTGTGGTGGTCACGTGAGGACTTCGAGTACAGAATACGTGTAAAAGGCTATACGAGACAGCTACGAACATGGCAAGCGCGCTTGCACTCGAGAGGTAGGCTTAATAAAAATACGGTAATATTGTAACTGAATTAAAATGAGACTATGTTTATTCAGAGCTACACAAATAAAACCACTAATCTTCTAGAGGCTACATGTATCAGGCCTATATATATGGAACCCTATACACATAAAATCAAGAACCTTGGGCACACTGAGCTTACACCCAGGAAAACCTTGAAAAACTGGAACTTGACGTCTTCTTTGACATTTCATCGGTAATTATTTGGCTTGCGCGACTCAGAAGACATATCGATCCCACCACCAGTGTGGAATCCCGAGTCGAACCATCATTCTGTATTAAATAGTGCATGAATGCGCACACTCTGTACTTGATTAGCAAATGAGTAACAATCGAATAATCATCAAGTGATGGCAAATGTGCATGTGGAATCTGTCCTACTGTAATTCCTTAATAATTTGTCCACACAATGCATATCGAAGGTGATAGATCAACCTGCATGAAATGGCTATGTATGGCCCATTACAAACTGAACAAGGCACCTGTTAACATTACATTGGTGTGAGAAGACATAGAGATTTGCGGCATCGGCGGCTCACCATGAATGAATAGATAAACAGAAACCTCAAGTCATAATTCGTCAGAGGGCCAAATGCTCACCACGTGCGTCGGCGCCTAAGGCAATTATACCGATTCCCGCAGAAAATTGGCCGTTCATTTATCTAATACCGGTGTTGTGGTCTTTGTGGACCATCTGAGCAGGAGGAGTCATATCATTGCTGTCAGTGACATCGTTACTGATGAGGCTACAGCCAAGCTGATCATTGACGAGATTTTTCTTAAACATGTTTAACCGACGACCATTTTTTTGAGCCAAGTTCCACGCTTTACAGGAATTTATTGCCAAACTGTTCATTTACATGATATCAGATTGAAAAGTTTACCGATGAGCAGCTCTAGACTGATGATTTGTCGGAACATGTTTAGCGAGTTGTGGCGGATATTCTCCGAGGACCTTGCGTAAAGAGACCATATTGCTTGCACACACTGAATTTGCGTCAAACAGCGCAGTGTTCATCTCTATAAACTCTGCCCTATTCTATTTAATATTTATGCTTCCTACTTGATGCCGCCTCAAAAGTGGCATTGACTTGTTGGAAGAAGGGGTGTGGTACGATATTAATTACTGATATCAGCCTGGCCATACTTTGGAGGAGAAACTGAGGATTTCAGATCTAGCGTCATGAGCCAAGTAGGCGACGTATAGCTAAGAGCCAAAATGTGCAAAAGCAACATGCAGATATTCGAGGCAGACATAACACGCATCAGCTTTTAGCCGATGAAATGGTATTAAACGTTTGACGCAATTAGATTAACTTCAAGTGCAATATTTGCAGTCTAATATACGTTCGTGACCAGAAAGGGATTATGGTACAATCTTAATATTTCAAATAGAATGCGGAAACACTCTGTGCTCAACGAGGGCTTAGTGAAGCCATATCACGAACCCGGTCTAACAGTGCATCAGATGCGAAGCGCTTTCTTCGAAGAGTAGTAATCTATTTGCAGAACCACCTCTTGATCTATAGCAGCTATCCAGCTCTGAACCACTTGTGGCACCTTAGTGCAGTCGGTCATATTGTGAAGCTCAGCGATATAATTCAAACGTCGACTATTGTCAGACTCGGTCACCCGCCGAAGCTCAATCTGAAGAGTCATCGGGAGTTAGATAGGGGATATCGTACTTGATCGGCTTGCTATATGAGCATCCTAATCCTCATGTTTAGTGGGCCGGCGGGACATAATCAATCTCTGATGAAGTGTAGGGATACCGTTACTCCAATATTTTATGCCCTGTAACGACTTAAATCAATCTCCGACCTTACACCCGGATGATACTAGACAGGCCGCGAAATGCAACACGCTGACGACTTAAGCCAATCGCCGTCCTTAAATTCGGAGGATACTAGACAGGCCGCGAAGTGCAACACGCTTCTCGTCAGGCGAACGAGGCCTTGTTTTATCTCATCTTTGAGACTTGACCACTCGTGGAGATGACGAGTACCGTTCATTACAAAAAAATGGACGTGATTAGCGTTCACTTAAATATTTATGCTTTTGCTGTTCCTTGCAAAGGGAAGTTTCGGACAACACTTTGGTAGAATGTTTGCTTCACTGAAGCTGAATGTTAAATATACAAGGCAGATGAGGCGATGTATCGAGTAGGTAACTCTGGGGCACTTTTGCCAAATTTTTTTTTACTACGGTACGGTCGTCATGAAGAGAGCTGGTTTACCCAGCCTCTACTCTGGCACTCGCAAAATATAACGACATGATAACTCAGGAGCGCTCTCAAACAAGCTTTTGAGATTTCGTTGGGCTCCCATGCACAATCATCATGGTGTCCATCGCGGCGTGTGACCCCCGAATGAGAGATCTCTTAATCATTACGTGATTTCTCCCAAAGCCACCCTATTTAAAGTCCTGCTGAGACTCTTGCGCATGTTTACGGGTAAACTCAGCTTGCTAAACCAAGTCCAACTTACTAAAATGTCATTTGTCATTGTATACGCCGAGGCAGTGTGCCGTATTACCTTTCGTCATAGAGTACAACATGGAGTGAGCAGCTGGTGCTGTGGCGAGGCAAAGCGTAGAGAGCGCATCATCTTCGGAAGAATCACATAGGCAGGGAACGGCTTTGCGAGATGGCTCTTTGTAAGGAAAAGCTACCGGGTCTGGATATATGAGATACACGTGACTGTTTTTATCAGCGAACACCTCGACTCCCTCGCAAATATAGCTCTCGTCGTCCATAGTGGCAGTACCTTTCTAGGTAGCATGCGAGAAGTTGATATGTGCATGAATGCAGGCACTTGTTTATGATATGAACGAGGCGAACTTCGGCGCAGTGGATGCTTGTTGAGCGCTCACTTTGTTCAAAGTGTCTTTGAAGGACAACGTGATTGTGATCTCAGCAAATTGTCCTGGACATGACTTTGAGCTGATCCAATCCATTTCAATAGGGACATTTCCTGAAGACCTCGAGATACGGTCGCATTCTTTCATCTTAATAATGGTGAATTCTAAAGATCGTAGCTCAATAATGTTTTTATTCGTCTCAACAGGGTGTATCCTTATTAACCGCGGCTCACAGCTTCCATGAGCTTTGTTCAAGGTTCTACGTGACATTAGTGCTAGTATCTCGAATTATTCCATGCATTGCACCAAAGCTATCGCAACTTCGCGCTTGTGTTAAAAGCTGCTTGCTTTCAAGCTGATTTGAGGTTCATGACTTACCAAAGCTTCTGAATGATAGTCTTTTCATGGATCTTGACGTCTTAGTGAGGACATACCTGGATTCAATGTCTAAACCAGGAATACGACCAAAGCGCATCCCATGCCATCATAACCATGAAACCAAAAAAAACCGACTCTTCGACATGTTTCCACAGCTGCTGGAGAGTGTTTGTTTACAGCCAGCATTGCTTGCATCTCTTCCACCTGTAGAGGCACGTGTTAGTATTTGCGAGTAAATTTTTTATATGTTTTTTAGTTCCAAAAATTGCATGGCTTTCGTTTGATAGATTTTTTTTTTCGATTGCATGACAAGCGGATTTCTATCCAGCACAAATTTTGTCTTTTCTTTCTAATGTTTATTAAAAATACATTCTTTCTGATGGCTTTAACTTTTGATGTTGAGGTTATACACCAGATTTGAGTATCTGTATACATTCACTTTCCTACAATTGATTATAAGCAAAATATTCGTGTTTGGAATTTTCAATGCCCCTCGCGTATTATTCTCTGTCGTTAACTTTATGGAATCGTACATAGTTGCACATGTTTTGAATCTGGTAGAGCTTCACTCAACCCGGTCGATGAATTTTCACGTCTGATAAGTGAATTATAAACCTTTACTCTATTTAAGAGTATCGACATACTAGGATATTGTTCTCCACATATCCCGATGTACCGTTGAGCTCAGATTTTGTTAGTAGGCCGCTCTGCAATTAGTAGGACTCGAAATATCTCCTAGAAGGATTAGTCGAAGGCTCCCAATGGGTGATCAACTCATTGTTCACCTCAATCGAGTGTGGAGAATTCATGCAGATACATAAGTGTTCGACATTTCCGGCGGTATAGCGCCCGCGGATATTTATAGGCTACTCATCTTGCATTGCATCCTTCATAATCAGCCTGGCTGAGATCCATCACCACTGGTGCTCTCATAGAGTCATAAAATCATGCTTGATCGACCCTTTTAAACTGAAGATGAGTTTTCGATTAATCGCGAATTTCACTGATCTTTAATAGATCTTAGATATAACCAACATGTAACGAGGTTACACGTGCCCTTGTAAGAAAGAGCAGGTCGCACAAAATTGTGCGACCGAATATAGGTGTGTATTATACAAATAAGTGTAAGCAGACAGTGGCGTGACTACACTGTAACAAGAAGCCACCACGTGGCAGAATTGCCAGTAGTCGTGCATATTACTATATCAATTAGGTTTTGCTATAGTAATTAGGTATTATTATATTAATTCGGAAAAGCTAGGGCTTGCCGCAACTGAAACAATTAAATACATTTTTTTTGAACAGAAGTGTTCGTTTGCCTTGGAAAGGCTTTAGTACTTCGTAGTAGCGAATTGCGATCCGCTACACTAGTACTGGTTCTTGGAAAGAACGTATGGTCGGCGACCTAAGCTTAGCTTTCTCTAAGCAAAGAGCTTCGGAAGCCCTGCTGCACGACCGATCTTGGCGCGAGCCGCAACTGTGCAGAGACCCTCCTTAAATGAGATAGCTGTGATCAACCGATCGTTCATATACGTACTCGTCTCGAGCGTAGTTCAAAAATTTCTTTTTCACTGGACGGGTGGATGGGATCTTTGACTCCACGCAGCAAGCCAACTTAGACACAGCAAACACTCGTACATCTGCTATAGAATACAGTAGTATCGACTATAGCATCCTATAGCGTCCTACCGCTCTGTTTGATGAAAGGCAGTATCCATGGCCATCTCTATCGTACTTGTTCAACGGAAGAGAGTTCTGATCTTTCCTAGCTGAAGGCGGCACACAAAAGGATCGCCGTGCACTTTGCATAGAGAAAGATTTGCCAATATGCGTCTGTGTTAGCGAACGTACAAAGGTTGGACCGCGCACCAATGCGAATTCGTGAGGCTCTTCTGTAACAAGGCGCCTTCTCACCAATGCGAATTTGTGAGGCTCTTCCGTAACAGGGCGCCTTCTTTGCTTTGCTGACATAAGAAAACGTATATTTAGGATGATAATGTACGAAAATATCCGCAAATAATCTCTTTTCGCAAAATGGTCTCTGTTGTCTGATGTACGGCTGGCAGCCCATCGACTCTTTCATTACAAAATTCCACCATTTTCATATAATCCGATGTTAAGATATCTTTGAGTAATTTTAATCTCACCAAAGTGCATTTTGATTTTCTTTCGATTGTACCGTATTGCAACTGATACAATTGTTTCAAATACGTAAGGGTAAAGTACACAAGGTCACAGTATTTTACCTGTCACAAAAGTGATCTAGCCATAGAAAGCTCTTTAAGAGTCGGCGATTTTTCCACCGGCATCTGGATTAGACTTGCCCGGCTATTTTTTGCCATCGAATTATCGTAGCTGGAGGCGCTTTGGTTTTGGCGCCAGCTGTGCTAGTAGCTTATTTCATATGTGGCTAATGGGAGATTTGCAACATAAACCTCAACGCCTACCAAACGAGCGACTGGTCATTCGTTTCTTTGAACGCTAATCCACTTCGACATAGATTGCCGCAAATTTGCTGTTAAAATGCGAAATGAGCTATGAATAGCCATCCGACCCATCAAAGGACACAGATAGCATAGTGTGTCGTTGGGTGACTTACTTCACCCTCACTATCTGACTAAGGCGTAGTCGGCATGCTCAATTTGCGAAGGATACTCGAACAGAATCGACGTAAGCACATTTAATTCTAAACAATAAAGCTTACACTTTGCTGAGAGACCACCTTGACCCGAACGACACGATATTGCATAATCACCCGTGCGACCCCATTTTGCGTGACAAACTGTTAGTGTAAAATGGCACTGGTGTTTGGTGTATCAGGATGCGAGCATCTAAGGCCACGACGGCTGGCATAGCAGAATGATGTTGTCTGACTGCTAAGCCGAGTACGGTTCGACTTTAAAGCAAAAGTGGCAACTCAGTAGATCTCTGTCTGTCTGTCTTTCGCGCTTGATCTGCAACATTGAAACTCACTTTTAATTACACAGTGCAATTCAATATAGTTTCCTAGCTAATTACATGTCGACGGATTATAAACAATGGTATCCACTGCTGACGATACAACTTCTACGATGAACTGGCTGATAGCCAGATGTAAATTTTGGCCATTGATACCGCTAAGACCGTGTAGCTTCAGCAGCAGATTTAATTGTTTACCTTGCTTCTCCGCATGTTATTTCGTTGTCTCGAGATCGTTTTTGAGACTTTTTAGTGTTAACTACCGACCGATCGGGGGTTCTTATTGCTTATGCACCGGCAAGCTATATCTGGCCATTCGCGTCTAGCCAAGATACCCACCAGAGCTATAAATCCTTTTACTGTAAGTCCTCATACTGCTTGATTCAGCAGTTGCATCCGGTCGTATTTCTATCGCTATCGTTTTCAATGGCCAATATTGTCGGGTTTAGTGAACAAACCTAATTGCGCGAGTAGTTCGCCAAGACTTCCATGTTAATCCATGATGTATCAAAATAATCCTTTCAGTCCAACTTGCATACCCAGGAGTTTTTAACGTATCCTAAGACCTTGATTTATAAGTTTAACTAAAAAATGCTCAGTAAGTCAAGCTGCGACGACGTAACAAACTGGTCACCCATGTTATCATCAGCAACATATTTTGACGCTTGATCTATGAGCACATGTCTGTAATGTGCCGCGTTGGGCCAGGTTTCACCATCCAAAATGCAAGAGCTTGCTTTACAACCCACCTGCCTGATGTAATATATACATTGCTCTTCATATTTACTACTAGCTGCCCTTCACTTTAAACAATTTGCAATTTGAACCCTATGTCTTTGAATATCCTCGTCTTGCGGGACTTTGAAATGACCCTCTTTTCTGCCTTGCCCGTGTATCAAAAAATGATCGGACTCCGTCAAAGAGAGTCTCGTGGTTTAAGTGAGCTGCTAGCCGCATGTCAGGTAATAAAGACTGATTCATGATGAGATAGGTAAAACGTACTGTACTCAGTATTAGTCCAGATAGAATCACTTTCTACTTTTGAACAAGCAAAGCTATAAAATATACATGAAGTTATGATAGGAATTCTCGGTTTCGCACTAGATTTTCACAATAACACAAATGAAATTCGTACAATTGTAACGGATTTTTACGAATAGAAGACCTTTTACTATTACAAGCCCCCATCGAATTTTCGACAATAAAAGACCGCTTCGATTAAAAGATCTCTTCGTATAAAAGGCCGATGTAAACAACTTAGCATTGGGCCGTTATTTTGAAATCGACCATGCGTTAAGCAATGGAGCTCGGAAAGAAGCAGGAGGCAATCAAGTGGATCGGCGAGCAAGGTGGTGGCGTGCCGAGTCGCGGGGCGCCTCACTTTCGCAAGAAAGAGTAGAGTGTTGCACATTTCGAAAGTGATAGCGCAACAGAGACGAGATTTTGAGTGCTCAACCATACCAAAAGCGGCTAAAAGGTGGTGGTCGCAGACCATTTCTAGGAACTCTCGAGGACCTACTGCTGGACGCCATTATCGACCACCGTCTTCGCAG